AGAATGAGGAACTGAGTTCAGATCCTCAAGCACCCACATAAGAGCCAGGCATGGCAGCATCCATCTGTAACCCCAGGCCTTGGGAGGTAGATTCCAGTCGACCACCTGCAATGTTGAGCTCCAGGTTCAGTAACAGAGTCCATCTCAAAAACTAATGTTGGAGAATAATAGAGGAAAGCATCTGATGTTGACCTCTGGCCTCTACACATGCATGCACGAGCAAGTGCACCCTCAAAAATGCACACCACACACACATTTTCACATCTCCTCAATATCAAGAAAGGCTAGCTTAATTTATGCTTATGATTCAGGAGTTGAAAGTAAGATTCAGGAAAGTTTAGGTTTGTAGACTTTTGAAACCTTGGCTTCCTTTGACTGCATACCCAGCTCTGACAGCACAACCACCAGTGTGCCTGGGAGGCAATAAGGTGAGATGAAGCCTCAAAGCAGGTGTGAGTAAACAGCAGGGTCTGGATCAAAGCAGAGCCTGTGGGCTGCCTGACTCAGTGGCTGGACCTTCTTCTTGACAATGAGAAACAACTGAAGGATGTAAATGAGGAAACACCTGTGTGTTATCTACCCAGGAACATGGTGGATGGTGCAGACATAAGGAACAGGACAAGACTGAAAACACGTGCATGTTATCTACACAGGAGCACTGTGGACAGGCACACAGAAGGACAGGATAAGGCTGGGAACACAGATGTTAAGATGACAGCAGGTACAGCTCAGGTGACAAAGAGGAGATATCACATTTTCAATCCCTCTGTGCCCTTGGAGCTGTGAAAGCATATATGCTTACTCGTTTACTCCCCACAATAATTGTGAGGCCCAGCTGCTGATAAAGAAATGATACATAGCAAAGTGAAGTAAGTTGCCCAGGGGTAGAAGATGTGGGAGAACCATGATTTATCACCAGTCTTCAGACCAGCTCCTATACTTTTAACCACACCCTACATTAACAGAACACAAACAGATCACAGTGTCATGCAAGTAGGACAGGCCTTGGTCTGAGTTTCATGGCCATAGAACATCACTGTCATGAATCAATCCCTAGTTTCTACCTCAAGAGATGAAAGAGAAGCCAGTCACATAAACGAGCCAACCCCAGGAGGAATGAGATCTGGGAGAAAGACCAAGAATTGATTTTGTACATAGCAAGCCAACAGCAAATATGTCTCTAGCCTAAGGACAGGGCAGGAGACAGAAATTTTCAAACTGTAGCCATATCCTAATTTATGGAACCCATGATTATGCTACCTGTCCTGGTAAAAGGGATTTTTCATATGCAAGTTTAGATTTACAGATGGTGAGTGTGTCCTGGAATCTTAGGGTGAGCACAATGTAATCACAAGGGCCCTTTCAGAAGGGAGGGAGGATGGTCAGAGTAAGGGAAGGCAAGTGACACACTCTGGCTCTCTGATGGGCCTTGAGCCAAGGAACACAGGCAGGTTGCTAGAGCAAGAGGAGATTCTCTGCTAGAGCCACTAGAAAGCACAGGCCTGCTGATACATGATTTCTAGGACTTCCGACTGCTAGAACTCTAAAAGAATCTTTATTACGTAAGAGTCTGATTTTAAGTTAGTATTTTAGGTTACATGTTATTTAAACACAAGCTAAGGAAGCAGTCATTTAAAATCTCCTTGGGAAGGCACAAGGACAGATGAGGAAAGGGGCATGTTTCTTCTTTTATAACAGAAGTGAAGGAGGAAGTGGGAAGCGAGGCCACTGTGTAGACACTGGAGTGGGAAGATGAAGTCATTTCTAGGCCAGGATTGTGACAACCTCAGTGAATTATGTGGCTAGGTCAACAGCAGATCAGGACTTGAACTGAGGGCATCAGACTCTTCATTCTAATGCAGCTTCTATGCTCTTCTGAATGATTCCTAAACTTGCCATGGGAAATAGTAGAGAAGCCACAGGTGAGCAACTGTGTTCAGACAAACGTAACAAACTGTGTGCACACTACTCACGGCTTGCCACTGCCCCTCATCACTCCCTGTAGCCAGGATCAAATGTGCTTCCAGAGCAGGCACCTGGACTGCCTCAGGAGCAGCTCAACACAGTGAGATCCGACAAGCTCACCTCAGCCACCAGCAGATAGGGAATCCTGATCGGGACTACGGCTCTTTATTTCTTCCTCCCAGAGATGACTATGGGGGTGACCATTAAAATATGACCGAGAAGCAGAGAGGTCCAAGTCGCCACTGCTAAATGTAACTCAAGAAAAGGATGATGAAGAAACCTGCTCTGCAATTGAAGAATAGCACACTGGAGCTGAATCCAAAGAGAAAGAGTCCCAAGACACGCTGACCCAGAACAATGGCACAGACACTTACTCTCGCTGTTTGCGAAGCCTGGGTATACTGTGAATGCTCAGAAGAAGACCTGGAAGAGGCTGAGACCATTAACCACCTCTGAAGAAGAAAGCAGGGTTACCTGGGAACGGGGTGAAGTGAGAACTGCGATGGGCTCTGTATTTTGTTGTTGCTCTTACCATCATTTTCTTGAGACAGGGTCTTACCATGTAGCACTGACTGGCCTAGAACTATGTAGACCAGGCTGGCCTCAAACTTACAGCTCCTGCCTCTGGCTCTGGAGTGCTGGGATTAAAGGTGTACAGCACTAGGCCTGGTTACTGATTAATGTTTTATAAATATAGAAGACGAGCAGCACAAGAACCTGGAACCCTTTATATTCAGATCTCCACATACAATCATGTGATCCTCGTGGTGCTCCTTTAGGGAAGTCCCTCACTCACTGAAGGAATACGTGAGCTAACACCAATAGACATGCCACAGGCTGATGTGTGACAAACGTCAACCGTCTTCAACATCACCTGCCTACCCTCCTACCCGCCCACCATGGTAGACACTTTACCTTGTCAGTCATTCAGCTGCTTTCAAATCCTACCTTTCCTTTTCCAGCAAGAATCACTCTTTTCATACATCCCATATTTAAGGAACACCAGTCTTCTGATGATCTCCAAATCTGGCTGTTAAAATTACATGTTCCTTGTCACTGAATTCTCTCACACATCTCTGGATAATGTTTGCTTCTGTCTGTCTTCTATAATGAACTGTTTTCTCCAGCATCTATATCCTACTAATCCACTTCCTGTCCTGTTACCAGCACACCTCCTTGAGGTTCCTTAACCTGATCTTCCCTGGTTCTCATTCCTACCATCTCTCACCATACTTCCTTTCTTTCATTTCTGCTTACAAATTTGATCCTTCACAGGTTTTCTGCCTCCATGGTCAATCTTTGTGAAACCCAGTGTATGGTCACCTGTTACATAAGCATTTAATTTCCTTCTATAAAACACTGTCTCAATGTCATGGATCTCCAGTCACCTGCCTGTTACCTTTCCCTCCTCCATCCACAATTATCTCAAATAATCTCAATTCCTAAAATCAAACTCAGCTAGGTATGGTAGATCATACCTATAATCCCAGCACTTGAGAGGCTAAAGCAGAAAGACTGTGAATTCAATGTCAGCCTGGAGTATAGGGTGAGACAATGCCGCCCCCCCAACACACACACATTCTCTCACACTCACACTCTTCACCTCTGTACCTACCCTACATCTCCCATTTGTCCACAATGAATACCACCACTACTATTGGTGCTGGCTGCTCTGGGGTCCTTGCTTTTTGAAGATATACTATGCTGTCCTTTAGCGTGTTTCTAGAACAAAGTTAAGCATTTCCTTTGCTCCAGCTGGCCTCCCCTCTACTTTGCCTCTGGGCACACTGAACTCTAAGGACTTCTCTGAGATTTTTTTTTCTCCCTCCCTCCTCCTCCCCAGAACGTGTGACAATACCTGGCACCAGAATGTTCCCTGAGCAGAGGAACAAATCAAATGTGGAGTTTTACCAGGGTTTTCACCCTAGCTTATCATGCACTTTTTCAAAATAGGCAGATTCCATGATAAATTTTCAGTAGCCAATTTTTTAAAATATATTTTATTATTTTTATTTTATGTGTATGAGTGTATTGCATGCATGTATGTGAGTGTACCCGTGTCCTGCAATGCAGCAGATGTCAGAAGAGGGCTTCAGATTCCCCTGGATCTGGAGTTAAGGACGGTTCATAGCCACCATGTGGGTGCTGGGAATTGAACCTGTCCTCTGCAAGAGTAGTCAGTGCTCTTAACCGATGAGCCATCTCTCCAGCCCCGCCCCTGGAACTGGAGTTAAGGACGGTTCGTAGCCGCCATGTGGGTGCTGGGAATTGAACCCGGGACTTCTGCAAAAGCAGTCAGTGCTCTTAACCGCTGAGCCATCTCTTCAGCCCCACTAGTAGCCAATTTTTTAATTAGACTTTTAAATATTTATTGTGTGTACATGGGTGTATGTGTGTGGGAGTACACAAATGCCACAACACATGTGGAGGTCAGAGGACAACTTGTAGGCACTAGTTCTCTCCTTCTACCATGTGGATCCTTAGGACTGACCACAGGTCATAAGGCTTGACAGCACCTTTACCCACTGAGCCATCTCACCACCCAGTGATGAATATTGGTCCCAGATGTCAGACTCTTGTTTTAATAGTATGACACAACACACAGCAGTTGGGCTGAGTAGATGCCTCAGTGGGTAAAGTGCCTGCCATCTAGGCATGAAGACATGAGTCTTGATCCCATGTAAAGCCAGAAGCCACAGTTTTGTGCCTGTGATTTTAGTGTTCCTATAGTAAGAGGGACAGATGGCAGAACCCTCAGGAACTCTCAGGCCAGGTGCAGTGGTGAACAACAAAAGAGACGCTTTCTTAAACAAGATGGAAGGCAAAGACCAACATTCAAGGCTGTGGCGTGTGTGTGCTCGTCCTCACACAAGTCTGTCTACACACACACAAACTCCACAGCAGTTTTGGGACTATACTGGGTTATTTCTATGGATTTATTCTGGGAAACTCCAGGTGACATCCACTCTTACCAAGGCACTTGGGTGGTAGACTCTACCTTCCCAGTGACACAAATCAAAGTACTCTGGGGTTACCTGACAGCGCATCATAGAACTCGTCCTCACTCAGGATGCTCGGAGGCGGAGAACCTTCAACCAGGGACTGCTCTAGTTCATGATGTTCAGTGGCTAAAGTCTCCAGTGCTTCTGACAAAATTTTGGTTTTTTCTTGCTCCTGTTCCAATTTAAAATTCCTCACCTAGAAGAAAATAGATATACAAAAGAGTTCAGAGACAGGCAATACAGATTTTCTCAGAGGAAGTAAAAATTACACGCTTTTGATCTCCTTCTACTGCAGCATCAGAAATGAAAGCAGGCACATTATATACACACAGATGAATGAGCAAAATTACTAAGCTAATTTTGGTCTTCCCAAGGGGCCTTTTCTCACAACAGCTTAGCTAATGAAAATAGATTACAAACTATGAAACAAATCCCCCTCAAATGATCAGGATCCTAGCAAAAGAAAATTAAACAGTCAATTCAGAAATCATATTTTTAGAAAATATTTCTCCCTTAATATTAATCGTGAAATTAAAAAAAAATCACTCCAGCAAGTTTTTTAAGTATTTTATTTTTATTTTATGTGTATGACAGTATAGCCTTGTACACTTCAGTGCACTCGTGTTGTGCAATGCCTGTGGAAGTCAGAAGAAGTCGTCAGATCCCCTGGAACTGGACTTACGGACAGTTGTAAGTCATCATGTGGTTGTTGGGAATCAAACCCAGGTTCTCTGCAACAGCAGCCAGTGCTCTTAACCACTGAGCCATCTCTCCAGCACCCTCCAGCAAGTTTTTTAACTAATGAATTGTCATCCTAAACGTTAAAATATATACATCATTAGAGGGACTCTCCTCGTTTATTTCCAAAACAGCTGTAACAGGTATATCAAAAAAAGGGCAGCAAGTTGCTGTGTGATTAACTATAACACTGGCTATATTTAATATGGATATATTAAATGGGTATTCTAATATCCATTTTTCCAAAGTTTTATTTCAACTGTACACTTTGCCTTTAATTTAGTACACTAAAAAAAATAAGGGATTACCAGAAAAGCCTGGTTGGCTTTTTCTGCCTTTGAAGACACCATCCATTCCTTGCACAAGGTTCAGAACACCTGGACGCAGTGCTGCACTAGACTCCTCTAACCCTCAGGTAGCCAATCCACATAAGACAGCACATAGGACACTTGGTGGGGAGTTTCACCTACTGTACAAAGAACCCTAGAAACCACTGCCAATCCTTCATCTTGCTCAGGTAAAAGCCAATGCAGCAGCTTTCACGGGAGCCAGAGAAGCATCTCCACAGTGGTCGCTGCATGCGCTCAGAAGTCTCTTCTCATTCATTTCTACCCTTTGTATGTTTTTGCCATCACCTCATAATCTAACTGAGCAGTATTCACCCCAGTGGTCTTTAAACTTCTATTTTCAATGTTGCAGCAATTTATCTATTTCTCAAAGATAATCCCCAAAACACAAAGACTCTTAAAAGCTGGGTGTGATGACACAAGCTTGTAGTCCCAGCACTTGGGAGGCTGAGGTAGGACTGAGAGTTTGGAGCCAGCCTGGCCTGCAGCATGGGACCCTGCTTCAAAGAACAAACACACTATAGAATTGAATTGATGTTTTAGAAAGTAGAACTGTGCTTGAACCTTCTTTGACTTTCTTCTCCCCTCCCTGTGGATCCCAAAGGTGGGCTTGAATCTGGGGGATACTCCCGACAGTTTGAAAGGCACTGGGTAGGCAGCTGCTGTCCAATTCTCCTTCAGGTCAAACCCCAGATCTCCAGGTCTGAGAGCTGGAGTCTTTCACAATGGCTCCCTTGCATCATTCCCTCCACTGAGTCTAACCCTTTCGCATCCTGACATTAGCTCTCATTCTTCTCCTTATGGCCCTGAAGAAGGAAGCAGCTGCCTCTGTTCCGACTCCAGGGCTCTCTGTGGCGCTGAGGTCCTGGTGGCTGCATATTAGGTCCAATACGCTAATATAAAGTTCTGCCTATAAGACAAAATACGGTTTGGTTTCAAGGCTCAGTTCACTGCACAAACAGGGTTAAGTCTTTATCATCTTGGGAACAACTCCAGTTCTCAGGCACCCCCGTGTTTATCATTACAGCAATGAGATTATAATTATTAGAGCTGTGATAATGAAATAAAAATAGCGATAAATGGTAAGCAATAGTGAACAGAGACAACATGAATAACTAACAAAAATTAAGCACTTATATGATTGTATTTTACAGCAAACTCAAAAATACTTGCAAGTATTCTCATAATCAAAATAGAGTCTCCAAAGAAGAAATACTTGTGCTATGGCCGCAGTCAATGTAAAATGATAAAAAGCTGTCCTCCTTCCTTATGGGTACGATGAATGGTTCATTATCTTTAAATAAAGGTGACACATTTGAGCACCAGGTCTAAAATGTTCCTTTTCTTTAAGTGGAAAAGTTCTTTTGGTTGGTTTTTGTTTTGTGGGGGTTTTTGTTTGTTTGTTTTAAGATTGGGTCTCCCTGTAGCCTCAGCTGGCCTGGAACTATGGAGACTAGGCCGGCTTTTAACTCTAGAGATCCACCTACCTCTGCCTCCCGAATGTTGGGATTAAAGGCATGCACCACCATGCTTAGCAAGTGGAAAAGTTCTATCAGCATTGTTTTGTTTGTAGATACCAAAACAGCACAGCAAGAAGATCTAAATCCTTTCCTCCCTCTCTTTGGATTTATCACAGTAACTTTCCAAATATAAAAAATGCAAATGTGCTGTTGACACTGTACCTTTAAATAAAAAGAGAATAATTCCTTCCATTTAGCAAATGTATACATTTTAATACTAAATTTATGTGAATTTCAGCCAAGTGGCAAATAAATAATCAGGGCCTTTAAATAATCTTCTCTACAAAATCTTGTTCAAAACATACCTGAGCCTTTATCCATCTAGCATAAACATCATTAAATTTATACCACATCTACATCTCTTTCTCACTCTTAAGAGAACAGATGAACAGGGGTAGGGATGGAGAGGAACAGTGCTACCCTCCTCGTGCTGACCTTGTTCATCCTTCAGTAGACCTGAGAGTACTTTTATGAATTCTAGGCCTCAAAGGATTTACTGCACTGAAGAATTCTTGCTATACAACTATTCACAAAATGGTAGTCTTCCCCAGGAACAAGTGATATGCATGGAAAAGAAACTGTAGGTGCCAAGAGCTACACAGGGAAGCTTTCTCACTGCTTTAAGTAAGCACCTGAGTGGACACCTAATGGCCATATTAATGCTAATAGTAGAGAGGCTATCTGGACAATGAAACCCCAAATCCTCTACAATGACAGCATTTTGAAATTAACTAGGGGAAATCTTGCATTGAAAAATCAGTGTAAAACTCCTAAAAAAAAAAAAAAAACCCAAAACTACAGCGTGCAATTTCATAAAATATTCACCTTACTTTTAAATATGTTTCCAAATTTTGATCTGCTAGCTAGCACTATGCTGCAACAGAAACAGCCCCTCCTGTGCACCGCTGGTGACCTTCTGATCACAGGTACGAGGCTTGCTTTGTTCACATTTTCTACCAACTCAAGCAAATCTACTACAAGATTTTTAAATGTTCAAGCTATTCTATCCTAGTTATGCTGAAGGAACAGAGAACGTCTTCATACAACTAATGGACTCCAATATGTGTTTATAGTTACATTAGAATATTTTAGACTAAGGTTCGTTACAAAAAATCAACAAATAATCAAGAGAACACAAATCTTAAACTCATTAGATCAAAGCATGGAACAGTAGCATAGGCACTGCTGTCTGAACCCCCTTGACAGTAAAGCAACTGTAAACCTTTGCAGTAGTCTCTCTCCTCAAACACTTTCCTTTTACTCCATTTCATGCTAGAAGGTGAAATCCTCAGTGAATGTTTCCCAAGTGAATGGATGCCAGCAGAAAATCCAGTTTAACACAGCCATGTATGTGCTAGTCAGTTTACACACACTACACCTTACCTTTCCTTTTAGAAAGTGCCCTGCTATTTATCGAAGTTTCACAGGTGTTAAATGAGCCTGACGATGAACAAATCATTTGGCAAAGGCACTCAATTATTGGGGAACTGCTGATGAATATTCAAAGAATACCGTGTGTTCACCAACTGTAAGTAAGATAAGTGATCACTTCTACCTGATATGAGTTCTCCCATCCACAAGTCTGATTCCCACACTAAGTGAAGGACTGCCATGGTTTTAATGTGGCCTGCAAATTTCCTGTATTAGAAATCCAATCTCTAAAGCTGTATGTCAATAGTATGTGGAAGTAAAGCCTTTAAGCAGTAGTTAGGCTCAGATGAGGTTATTTGGTGTGGAGGTTTTGATGGCACACTCCAGCTAGCAAGCTTACCATGTGATAGCAACAAGATATGAACCAGGAGGAAGACCCTCAGACACTGAACAGATGGTAGTCTCATATACTTAAGGCTTCCAAGCCTCCAGAACTAAAGGGAGTACAGCTCAGAGGTGGGACACTTGACTATAGCCTCTAGAACTGTCTTTATTGCATATAAATTACTCAGTGTATGGTGTTCAGTTTACAGCAACTGAAATACCGACTAAGATAAAGATGGAGTATTCATATGAAATGCAAATTGGTCCTTGTCACTTCTAAATCTACAGTCAGAATAAATCAAACACTATACTCCAGGGTCCAGGAATGTTACACTTTGATCCCATGAGAGGCATGAGATGGTCTGGAAACTCACACTCATGGTGGGATATGCCCACAGCTGGCTTTGATGATTTACAAAGCATCTTTGTACACAAAAGTTTCAGGGATGTCACTGGCTAACACAGTTTTCTATGCTATCTTTCACCACTTTTTCAAATGAAACAAATTAATGCCCCTGCTGAGAAAGAGACCATGGGGGAAGGTCCAGTAGAATTTAAAAAAAAAAAAATGCTGGAATATGTATTTGCCATGAAGTGTTGGGAAGTGGTCAGATTCTGAAGAGATTTGTAAGAGCCTAAACACATTGCAGACAGACTGTGTGATGTCAGAGTAAGGCAGGAGGCAAAGGTGGATTCATGGTTTGGAGCTGAACAATCAGGACAGAGTTGTGATTACCTAACAGGGGGCATACTGCAGGAGGACAGGCCAGCTGGGAACTCAGTTTCCTGTATGGTAAGTGTAAGGTACTATGAGACATTCATGTATAGAAGTGGAC